GGGAACTGGGTACTGAAAAATATGATTAGTAAGTAGGTAATAGTAAGTCTATAATACCAGAAAAATCACAAGAACGATATATAAAGGGTATAATTTATAAAATAATGTATTACATAAAGTCTCTCTTGTAGGAGCTATTTCTCAATTTTCAGTTAAATCTTAGAATTTAAATTGTTTAGTTTATTCTAATTTTTTGTTTATTTTCTAGTTGATTTATTATTAGAATTTTTGTTTAATTCGTTATTTAGAATAATTTTTATGGTTAGTAATTCACTTAATTAGTTGATTTCAGTTAGGATGTGGGTATTTCACGGTATAAATAGGGGGGTCTTAGGTAGCTTATTATGCACCTGGGTGGTCACAAGGTTTTTTACCAGTCTCATCAGTCACTTCAGTCATCAGTCAGAAAACAGGTGCAGGAATCGGAGCAGAAGCAGAATCCTGTGAAGCCTGTAACCTTTTTGTCTGAACTGTGAAATAAAACAACCAAAGAACTGCATCTCGACTTTTTGATCCTTTGTAAACCAGAATCCACGGTGCATCAGGTGACTATTTGAGTTGGGTTCACTTTTGTTTTGATCACTTTTGAGTTTGGAGTTTTTTGATTTTTGAATTTAAGTTTTGGGACAAATAGTCACTATGCCTCTAATTAACTAAGCCATTGTTTACTTTCTGTCTCCAGGTTAACCTGGTTACTTACTGCAGAAGCTCCTCGGCGCTGTGTTCTTGCAGCTCCTGTATTAATTGCACTGGCATCGCGTCCCACTGCAGGAACTCTGCTTCTTGTTTCTGTCAAATAAACGCACTTTCTGTATCATAAGTAAAATACATCAGCGATTCACCACTACTACAAATATTAACCTTCTTATTCATACCTCTTCTCCGGACATGTTAGCATTGCTGTGGTCATGGCAACGGGCCGTTAAACTGTTCTTCCTTATTTAAAGGGGAACTCCGTTTAAATAACAATCTTTGCTTGTTGGTTATTTAGCAATACATTATTTTAAAAGATAAATACATTTTATTTATTTAATATTATTATTAAAAAGCAGATGTGTTATCTTGTAGAAGTACTTTACAACAAACAATTAGTCACAGAAGATTAAAACAAAAACAAATATGAAACAGTACCATACATGCAATACCAAAGCAAAAATGTTTAAATGAGTAAAGGAATCTTAAGTAATTTCTTTTTTTAAAAATCAACAGAAACCAAACAGTACAAATACCGGATGATTTCAGACGGAGGAAGACGTTTGGAGATGTGGAGCTCTTACCTCTCGGTCTAAAAGGATCCGTCTTCCGACATAAATGCAACATCTTGTATGTTCATGAAATGCAAAATAGTTTAAAAGTGGTTTGACCGCGCAGGTCGCCAAGAAGGCTTGCTTTGAAATAAATCTCCACACATCTCCCAAGCCGCCCCTCTCTGCTCTGCGTCACATGCGGCGCATCCTCACAGAAACCGAGCGGAACCACTTCCATTCTGACCTGGATTAGGGAACGCTCAGCTGAACGGAGAAGACACGACCGCAGGTAAATTCCGCCTCTGCTTACCTTTAAAAGGCAGCATCTTTAAAAGTAGCATCTGAGCCTGTGGCAACAGACCTGCTCCTTTTGCAGACAATTGGCATATTAAGTCAACTAGCAATATTTTAGGTCTCTTAACCTAAATGGAAATGAGAAAAGCAAAACGCGTCAAACATCATCCATGCATGCGTGCTTATTTTCCTGCTTTTTGTAATTTAACAGACAGATTTCACTTTAAGCATCCCTGTGTATTGTTAGCGTGAACCCAACTATCCGCCCACGCTCATGTGTCACCCAGAGCTCGGTAGAAGATAAAGCGGGATGTATGTTCTGCCCTGACCATGTCCGGATGGAGTCAGGAGAACAAGGCTAACGCGGAGCCGCTGCGCTGGACGAACAGTGGCAGACTTCTGTGATCCGAGAACCTTGGGTTTCATCTTCATCATCTTCCTCACTGCCGGAGACAGACAGAAGACCAACTCCCTGCTGAGACTCTCCTTTTCCATGGATCTGGTACACGCAGGTTAGGGAAGGGCGTGGCGCGGTGGTTCAGCTCACAGCTCGAGTGATGATGGTAAGTATCTTTGTCTTTTCTAACAAGTTCAAATTACACTAATATTTTGATCCATTTCCTTCACACTTCATAGAAAGGAGTAGAAGATCCATTCCGAACATAGGCAGAGCATCAGACCAGTGTCTTAACGAGTCATTTCTGTCTGAGAGTTTCCAATGAAGAAGTTCAGGGCCGTGCAGAGACCACTAAAAGGGCAGGTGCTCAAAAGAAAAAAAAGGGCACATCTCCCCGCATTCTAGGACAGAATATGAACAAAGCCACTCAGCTTTCAGTTTAATAAACAATGATAAATTACAAAATTGTGAAATATACAATCAAAGCTAAGGTAAATCTCTATACAGAGCATACAACTATGCATATGTAAGATATTTTATTAGTAATTTCTTTCTGCAGGTCTATTTTGTTATAGGAAAGTATTGCAATATTCAAACCCGCAATTTAGCAAGATATGTAAATCAGAGCTAGAGCACCAGACATATTTTGTCTTTACAGAATTACACTATTAAAAATATAAACAAGGGCACAATGCAACCTCTTAGTGTACTGTAATCTATAAAAAAAGAGCTGCCTGTTTGCTACACTTGCAGTGGAGATGAAGAAAGCAGAGCTGCATCAAACTTTAATGTGGAACTGCAGAAAGAAGAAAAAAAAAGCAAAATTTGAATTGTTAATGCATGTCACCATGAGAAAAGCCTACTGAGTTTTGCTTAAAACTTTTTTAAACATTTAAATCACACAATTGTCTCATGAAGTGAAATTTTTTTGCAAAACAAACTTATTTGTGCATGTCAGAAATCTTTTCTTGATATTTCAAGTTTTTGTTGTTTTTGTTTGTGACTCAAAGTTTTGCTTGTGATTCTCACATGACGTCATAGGCAGGGCCCAAAATCGCAACAAAAGATTTCTGATGTGTGCAAATAAAAGTTTATGTTTGGCAAATAACTTTTTAAGTTCACAAGACAAAAATTAGTTATTTAATTAAAAAAAAAAGTTTTTTAAACAAAATAATTTGTTTTTAAAAAAGAAATCATTACAATTCCAAAAGTTTTGATTACAATTTTATTTTACTTAACTGAGGTTAGTTTATTTTTTCCCATTTAATAATTGGGGAAAAATTTTAACTACATACTCTGCGAACCAGACCCTAAACTTACTTAAAGTCTGGGTTGAGTTTTTTCCCCTTCATTAATGACATACATTATATCTATCATGGTAATTCAGGGTGTGTTATTTTTAATTCTAAATGAATGCCCTTGTTGGACTATTATTTAAGTGCTATTCTCTTTCAAGACACATTTACCTAACGCCAGAATAAATGCAATATACATTATGCATCAAAGGAAATTAGAAGATCGGACATATATCCATTATGGAGATGATAAGTTCTGGACGGGTGATGTGCCTCATACACAGGGAAGAAGCTTTTTGTTATCTAGCTTTGCAAACAAAGTTGTTAGCTAGCAGCTAGCTAATAGCACAACAACAGCAGCCTAATAATGTCTGTATGATAAAAATACTGAATCGATAGATAAGAACAGAACAGCAGAAAGGAGATACATTCAATTACATCTTGGAAATATCAGTACTGTGAATTAAGACAGGAGATAGACATATAAAACTAGGTTCTGAAACAACAAACTACAATGAAAAATTTACTTATTATAATAAACAAATTGTGACCAGTGTTATGTTCTGTTATTGCATGAAAATGACAGCAGGGGGAGCTCTGACTATGTATGTGACAAAATATACTGTATGTGGAGAAGAAGAAGAAAACTGAAAAAGAGTAGAGAACTGAACTGAGCTGCTTATTTTCCACTATTTCAATATAGCAACACCACAACAACCAGTCATACACATAAACAGTAAACATTTTCTTATGTAATCTGACTAATAAATTCGGTGTCTCTCACAATAACTTTATGTGACAGTTTTTCATAATCAATGAAAAGAGTTACTGTGTTTATTCTGGGACTGAAAACAGAGTGCTGAACATTAACATTAAGCTATATTCCTGGATATCCCAAATCACACAAACAAAATGTCTGAGTTGAGAGGGTAAAGAATGTAGAGCGGGGCTCTGAAACGAACAAGAAAAGGAAACACATGGCAACCTAATAAATATGGAGACATGAAAACTGAATATTTTTTATTGAATGTATACACATAACATGGCAAATTGTTGCACTGCAACTTCCTTATTACCATATTTTCCGGACTATAAGGCGCACCTAAAAGCGTTAAATTTTCTCAAAAATCAGCAGTGTGCCTTATGTGCTCCATAGACATACTATAAGAGTAGACCCTGCGCAGGAAATATGGCGGCCATCTTGGAGCGGTCGTCCCTCCTACTTTGCTCA